CTTGTCTCTCCAAATCAACCATTTTACTGAAATACTTGTGTCATGTTGATATGTGCTTTTGTGTCTTAGTAAAAATTAAAATCAGTTAAAGTAAATATTCTAACATAAATTTATATAATATTTCTACACGTTTTATATAATATTTCAAAAATAAAACAGTTATATATATATATAATCATGAATAAAAGACAATACATAATGTGATCATCAAAAGGTTTGTTGAAACTAAATAGCTATTATTTTGTTTGAACAAATTATTTAATGAGTGCACAAAATGAAATAAATTAAGTACCAAACTATAGAAAAAAAACTCATCATTTTCATTAGTACATATGTAAAAATAAGTATTATTTAAAAAAATCAACAATTTGTCTGATTAAATGATCGATATATTTTCAAAGTGATCAACTGAATTTATATAATGGAGGGGTACTTTACTTTCAAAAAATTTCTTTCATATAGAAATGGCTATCAAGGCCATGATTTTCTGAACAATATCACTGAGCCAATTAACTAGATTTTCAATTTTTTGATGTGCATTTCTACAAGTTTATAAATATATAATAAATATATGTATTCTTTCTGCACCATACACTAATAACATCACAAATTTCTTTTGCAGAGTAGTGTCCCATTTTCATTTTCAATCGATAGAAAATAACAGCCATTAGTTTCAGCAATTTTCAAGTACCCGCTTCTATTTAATCGAAAACAAATAAAACAGATAAGATAAATTAAACAAATAAAATAAATAATTAAAAAATAGTGATACAATCACTTAATCGTTCATTGATGATATTCCGATAAAGACTGTAATTTATTACATTAAGGGGCCTATTTTGCAATTCTTAATTAACTGTAGTTACAATCAGTTACAAGAGTTATAGAATAGACCTCTTAACCTTTAGAAACTTACGGAAATCTGTTCTGGATGGATTTCGTTGAAATATGTCACAAATTCGTAGTTCGGAGCACAGAACATTTACGTTTCACATGTATTCGAGATGTAATAAAATTTGTGTACATAAAAATCTTATAAAATTCTGTTAAGAAAAACTGTACCGCCAAAGTTAGTTACGAACACATATCGGCAATTATCTCAACCGGCATTTGTCACGGCAACGTCGATGACACGACAGCATCCACAATTTGTCAACGACAGAGTCGCCAATTATGAAAAACGAAAAGCAACTAGAGCAGTCTATACTTATATCACTCACAGCAGCAACACCGAATGTGATTGGTTCTCGCTTTTGGCTACAACCAGATTCAACCAATCACATTCAGTTACTATTTAGCCGGGGAGAATTACCCCACGCAGCACGCAAAATTTCTAGCAATTTACGCATGCGATCTAGTACGAAAAAAAAATCACATTGTGTGCAGCAGACTTTACTCACCGATGAAAAACTCTACGGAAAGAAGACTCCCCTCTTCGGCAGCCAATCAGCGCACTTGGTAAGTAGCGAGGTAACTAATAGAGGAATTTTTGAAATTTTCTTACGGCAATTCTGTTTATGGCGTCCGTATCGTCTGTATCTGTATCAGGGCAGGGGCAACATTCTTTCCGGTTCTACTGGGCGCTGTGTAATTCGACGTTGGATCGCCTCAATCGCCTCGGTGAATATTGCAAGCTGGCAAGGTGAGAGAGATTATTTTCACGCTGTAATCACTTTGCTCTACAATTTCGTGTCCTCGGCACATCGGTTCACATTGTGTAACGTAAATTCTATCGTTTTCGAAATTCGCCGGATAGCCTATGTGCGTATGGAACGATAATATTACCTGTTTATGTTTACGTTGGGGAAACAACATTAGGGGAGCCGATTATACGAGAATCTGTAAAAAGTAGGTCAGTTATAAGGGCTTGGCAGAAAGTTTTCAGAATTTGTTTGTTTTTGTTCAGAGGTGACTGGTTTAATATTATTCAGATCTCTTGTCTTTACTCTCCTTGCTCTGCTATCGTACTAACAATATTTTGTAATCCTTTGGCCGAATTATTTTTTTCTTCTAATTCTTATTTAATATCTATCCTAAATCATAGATGCTGATAAATGCCATATTTGTAATAGAATTTGTTTCTCTAATACTATATAAAATTCTGGGTTACTTTTTATATGGTTGAGTTTTCTATAAACTGTTTTAAATAACCTAAATTATGAGAAATATGATGAATGAATAATTGAAAGCTGATTGAAAACAATATAGACTGAAATAATTAATAACTTTTGCTTCATTATTATTACAAGTTTATCTTTATATAACCTAAATATAACTACTAAAATATTTTTTAAGCACAATTTGTAAAGGATGTAAAGGCATTCAAAAAATATATAAATTTAAGTTTAAGCATTGCGCAATATTTAGTCTTATGAATATATTTGTGATAGGTATAATGGATTACGCTGTTGAAAATTTAGAAAAGACTTCCGACATAGAGCGGAAAGCAACACTCAGCAAGCTACATAATATGCAATGGCTGAAAAATACATCTTATTCAGCAAATCCGTATGTTTTAACCCTTTTTTCTTTGTTTTAGAACATATTTTTGTGTTGTGTATTAACATATAGTCTTGTCTTTTCATAAGTTTTTTTTAATGTTTTATTTTCAATCGAATTATCAATAATTTAGTTTTTTATGTTAATCTTCTGTTAGCATCTATTCCAATTGCAATATTGTTAATATACAATCTTCTTGCTTGTATAATATAATAGAAAAAGTAACTTATGTTTTATGCATTATATAAATTATATACTGTATAACATATTTATATATTATGCATATATCTATTATGCATATGCAGGATATTTCAGAATGTTACTTTTTTTTAGCTATAAATATTGGAATATGGCATTGGAGCATTTGAGTTAATACAAATTAGGCTTAAGAAATGTTAATAAATAAAATTTTCTCTATATTTATCACACTAAACTTTTAACATACCATCTATAGCTCTGAAATAGTCTATGTACATTTTCTATAATTTATATTAATATACATATGTATTTTTTTCTAAATTTTTACTAGCTGATATATAAGGAGATGGATTAAAGGTATATTTTGTAACGTTGTGTCTACATTGTGCTTTAAAATTATTTTTACATTGATTTTTTATTACAGCGACAAGATAAAAGCTGTTGTCTATAAGCAAGTACAAGATCAAGATGAGGAAAAGAAAATAGAAGATAAAGTTTCAGAACTGGCTGAAACTATCAAGATATATGCAGTTAAAGAACCTGATAAATATTCTTCAATAAACGATATGCTTAAAACAGATTTATTTAATGATACAATGCCAGAAAAAGATGAGAATATTTGGAACAAAGATATAGATACAGCCAATTTATTTTCAAATGCAGATAACCTGGCTGATCAAAAGAATGAAGAAGATATGTTAAGTATTGTGGAAAGTATTGTGACAGCAAAACTGGAAGCTGAATTTTGTATAAATAAGGAGTATAAAGATCAATCAAATACATCAGAGAACAATACCAAAGATATCGTACAGTAAGTTATAAAAAAATTTAACTTAATTATTATCAATATGTTACTTTAATATCTTTTTTATATATTTTATATATTATATTTTATATTTATATTTTATATATTTATTATATATTATATTTACAATAAATTAGGGACACAATATGTACAAATCTTTCCGAGTCACAAAAAATTAATGAAGACACAAAAGAGCCAAAATTAATAAAACATTTTGATGGTAATAATAACGATTCCAAATCAGTAACACTTTGTATGTCAAAAGTAAACAATGAACAAAATTCAACTTGCAAAATAGCTGATGTAGAAAGCAGTAAAGCTTCAACAGAAGCAAATGATAAAGGTAAATTTATATGCGAAATATGATTTATGTAATTTCGTTGTATTATATTGTAATATAGTATCTAGTTGTATTATACATGTATACACACACACACACACACACACACACACACACACACACACACATACATATATATATATATATAAACTATTCCATTTTTAGATGGATATGTAAAAAATAATATTACAAAAACAAGTGTTAAGACTGGAAGTAATACAAATTTAATTAAAGACAATGAAAAACCTTCCGCATACAATCCTAGTAGTAGCGATTCTAAGAAAACAATTTCTAATTCATCAAAGTTACTGAGTACTACTGATAAAAATGGAAGGGATCACTTTAATAATAAGCATAAAGCAAAAAATACTACATGCATAAGGAAACAAGAATTTGTAAAACAACGCAATGTTTCAAGAAATGGAACAGAAAAGGAGATAAAAAAGTCAAACTCAGTGAAAACAGATTTTGAGACAACTGATATAGTATGTCAAAGTAAAAATTTAAACAAAGATAAAACTTTACCAAAACACACAAAACAATTTCCATCAAAATTAAAAGGTCAAGAGTCTTTTAAAAAGAATGCATCTACGTCTAACTTTTCTGATGATAAAAATAAAATTGAGAAATCAATACATGTATCAGGAAATCTCAATTCACCATTAAATGAATCTGAAAGAAAGAATGAAAAAGTTGTTAATGAACAAAATTTTCAAAGCGATCAAAAAGCAAATCGCAATGATTTTAGAAAAAATACTGCATTTGTTACGCAATATAAAAATTCAACATTCTCCAAGCCAATGCAAAATGTTCCGAGAACAGGACAAGCTCCAATGTATGGAAGAAATTCATCATATGCATATAATAATCCAAAATTTAATAGGAATCGTAATGACAGTGCCGAACATAAAGTTATGAAGAAAGAGCTTACATCTACCAATGCATTTACAAAATCAAATACAGGAACTGAAAAATTTGACACAAGCAATTTGGAAAGTTGCACAACGCAAAAAGAAGAAATAATTCAACCGCCAAATGTAAAATCGACAAATGTACATGAAGTAGATACATTATTGTCTAACGATAAAAATGATACAAAATCTATAAAAGTAGAGACACATTTAATACAAAGTAAAGAAAATATGAATATAAGAAATAAGGACCAAGAATCTACAATATCAGAACAGTATTGTGAAAAAATGAATATCTCTAAAGTTGATGTTGGCCAGCAACACAGAGAAACGAATAAAGAAGATATCAAACCACTTAAGCATTCGTCTAATCTACCTTCTGATAAATGTGCTACAGACTCACAAACCAATGCGATACATCAGTATTCATTAAAGCAAGAAAATATGCAACGCGTGAATGATGTAAATCAATTAGAAAACAGTCAAATTACTTGGAATCAATCCCCTGACAACGCTATGCAGAAAGGCGCAGCAATTATGAGTTTACAACAATCTATTCAAAATATGCATTTTAATACACAACAAACTTTTACTCAAACAGGAAATTTAAGAGGACAGTCGTCATGGGAATCAAATAATAGCAAATTTTATGATCAACATTTCTCAGTTAATGATGCGATGAGGTTGTCGCACATTCCAAATACTTTCAACGCATCACCCTATAGCAAAACACAAATATCAAATGATGATAGGGTCACCGGTACATCTACGCTCGAAACCACAATGAATAGAGAAAATTCAAATGTACTGTATAGATATGGACCGAACATACAGCAGAGACCTGTTATGACTTCTGATTTTCCTGGCCATTCTGTGTCGTCATGTCAGACTAACCAGTCTAGATGGAATTCCTCGATACAAGACAGTTATCACATTGAACATCCATACGTTGCGACGCAACCAATGATGCACATTTACAATTCTGCAACTTTTGGTCCTGATGATTTTAATAATACAATGGACTATGTATCGCATCCAGTAATATATGCACCATCCCCATATATGCAAACATGGAATTCACAATTACAATATTCAGTGCCCGTTGTGTATAATTCTCCGTGTACGAATTATACGTTCCCTCATCATAATCAGTCAAATAATTTTAACAGCTCTGTGATTGATCAGCAACATAAACATAATCCTTATATGCAAATGAATAGTTATGCTAGAGATACATATCATGATACAAACACGTGCGCTGTACAAGCAAGAAACTCTGTCGATAATGTTCCGATGAAATCCAATTATTATTACAAGAAACATCAAGATAATTGTCGAACAGTTTGTGATGTTCCTCAATATGTAGCATCAGTTTCGTATTCGAAATCACAACAAGGTATGAATTATATGCCTGCCACAAATCAGGGCAACACATCATATTGTCCAAATCAGAAATATTATAAGCAAAATATGACAAATTATATGAAAAATCCGAAAGGTCAGGTACAAGATTTTATTTGTGATGATAATGCATCAGAAGACACTCCTCCAATAATATCTCCGAAAGAATTTGTGACGAGCAATGTAAATCTTTCAAATCAAAGTGATCAATTTGCGACACGAGTATTTAAACCAGAGTTCAAGATGAGATCAAACTCAGGATATCGCCCGCCACCCTCTTTACCAAGGTATAATGGCGGTTTTCGCAGAAATACAACTTTTCAAGATTTTCCGAATGAATATACATATCCTGTTAGTATTGGCCGTGGTACATATAAAACTAAAAAAACATAAAAATAAATCTAGACCAAGAGTTTGAGCTATAGTATAAAATATACATATACATTCTTCATGCAAAACAAATTTATTTCAAAATAATTTACCTTACAATTTACAATATTCTACCTCTTATAAATCTTAGAAAGAGAATCAGCAGCAAAATTTTCCGAATTATTCAATGAGATTATAACTCTACATTTACTATACATTTACTATGATCTACTACAAATCATAATTTACCATCTCCTTTTCTATTTTTGATGTTTAAAAGAATATGTTTTTATATAACAAGCAGTTATAATATTAAGATAGAAAATTCTTATAATATATATTATGCTAGATGTTAAGAAAACTATAAATGTATTATTAAGTTTAGATTTATATCATATTTTGTGATTATCAAACCCAAAATGGTGCTCTTCTTTCATCTAAAGACTCGCTTAAGTATGATATACTACGTTCATAAATATATAAAGTTTTGTTTAAATCTGTAAGTTTTCACAGATGGGTTACGAATCGCTAGATATGTAAATCAGTTACTAGAAATGTTGTTCAACAAATATTTAGCATGTAAGATTTTTCGTATGTTTGATTTCTTATAATTTTAAGATGAAATATTTCAGAAAAATATATATTCTGCTTGTACTTTATTTTTCTATCTTATTTTTGTGTTTAAACTGTATTGTTAACAAAGATGGTATAGTTTATTTTTTCTGGACTGGTTTTATGAAATAAATACAATATGTTTTGATATTTCTACATTGCTTAATTTATATTACATTGTTTATAATTCCTTAATAACCTCTAATTTTCGTTTTTTTTTATACACGTTAAATTCATAGTCTATCATGATGAAAATGAATGCACACAGGTACTCATAAAAAAATTTAATTAAATATTTATATACACATTCAAATAAAAGAAGCAAAAATAATAAACATTTATTTGTTACACTTCTTAACTTTATTATTAACACTTGTAATGAAGAAAGACAAATCAGCTTAAACGTACAAAAATCTCATTATGTATGCTTGATTGAAATTGTTTGATTGATTAAAATTGTCATAGTCAAAGTATTAACTTTAGTAAATGTATACACTTATTAGTTAATGTATGTACTGATTGTGACATAGTATATACAAATTAAATTACGTGATTTGTTTTATATACGAGTATGTATATATTTATATTTTATATATTTAACATTACATGTTATATATATATATATATATCACAGCCATGTAGAGGCCTGTTCATTCGTGTCAGAAATGACCATGTCATTCAGTGTCACGCGTTTAGGCTTTCCTAAAATTGCAATTAAATCGATTTCATTTCTCGCTGTCAAGATTTGCTTGTCAGACAGCGATTGTATACTCGATAAAATCTCAGGATTTGGTCGTAGCATTATTAATTGGCAGTTGTTTTTCCTGAAGTCATTTATCGTCATATTAAGACCCTAAAAATAATACATCAATAGATTAATAAATATTTTAAGAATAAGATGTACGAGTATTTATAGACCAATTTTTAATTTTACATTATATTAATTATAAATTATATTCTCAAAATGCCTTTTTCATTGATATATTTTATAAATGACTGTTTCAAAACCTGTGCGGCAGTGAAGTCTATTTTGTCGATGTGTTCACAATCTAATACGACATTCATACCGGAATTTTTCGTTAGATACATTCTCAAATAATCTACCGCAGGGAATAAAATTCCAGCGGTAGGACGAACTAAGAAGTAGTCTGTTGTTGAGATCTGCAGAAAGAAAATTTTTAATCATTTATAATTCTTAATGTAAAAAATTTTTCTTAATAAGTATATATTATCTAAATCCAGAGACACAGTTCCATTTTCTTACGTTTCTATGTTCAATATTTATCGTTGGCCGCGCATTGAGATATATCAATATCGCCAGATCTAATATCGTACCTATCAAAATTCCCATCTCAACTCCGACAAATAAACAGGCAAGAAACGTAATAAATGCCGGTATTAAATCACGTTCTATAAAGAAAAATAATATTTTATTTGTGCTAAAATTTCAGTTAGTATACATTTTTTATTCAATGAATTATCACAATGAACAAAATGTTAGCAGCATGCTCCCCCCCCCCTTCTCCAACAGTTTAACAATAGATTCGAACAGAATATTGTGGCGGATTGATATTAACAAATATTAACTGTACAATTATTGTACAATATTAACTGTGCAATTAAACTCATGTTCTGCTAACGAATTTAAGCCTACCGATATAATCTAACAAGCATAATTCTTCAGAAAATCTTTATTAGATACGCATGTTATCTAGATTAATTGTTTTGAATATATATATATATTTTTTTTTTTCACTCACTATTGCACTTCCAGATTGGAATTATTATATCAATTTCTACCATAAATATCACCGCGCTAATTATAACAGCGCTCAGTGTCGCCTTTGGGATATAATAAAAATATGGTATCAACAAACTTAGCGCAAGTATGACTAGAATACCTGAAATTATTTATCATTTTCATTAATATTTTTCCTTTTTTTTTTTTTTTAAAGAGATTCGTGCATTATTCTTCCCATAATATGATAGTGCTTAATTTATTTTAGTTTAATTGTTAATAAGAATGTGTAAGTGCTATTTAATGTCAGTAAAATTCACCCGTGTAGAAGCCACCTAAAGGTGTCCTAACACCAGAAGCATTATTCACTGCGCTTCTCGAGAAAGATCCTGTAACAGGCATCGACTGAAAGAATGAACCAACCACGTTACATAGTCCGAGAGTCAGCATTTCCTGCGTGGCGTCTAAAGGCATGCCTTGTGCTTTAAAAACAATGAGAGAAATATTCAAGAAAATGCTTTTATATATATATAAATAATTGAATACATATATTATATTACGCACGACTTAGCATATCCGAGGACAATGAAGTCAAATGATATAAAATCGATTAACTCATTTGCATCATTAACATATATAATACATATATAGGCGCAATTTTTCTAGCTGTTATCACCAGAGC